ACATTTAGTCGGTGTGTCTTCTAAATATCCATAAGTTCTTTCGTCTTCAACCAAATCTCTTAGTTTGAACACATCATAAAATAATTGGTTAGGTATGAGAACATAGTGAGTATTACCGTGGTTAATATAACCTATATTGAGATCTAGTCATTAGGTATTTTGTTAAATCATATAACAAAGTGATAGAAAAACATGTACTTGTTGGTTGTTATGTTAAAAGTATTATATGCCCTTATGTTTGTTGTATCGTAATTAAAAATGTAGATCATTTTTGTGGATGTTTTCTACAAGAAATTTGTAGTTGACTTCGAGACATTTATGTGGATATAAATTCATCAAGATCCGAGTCTATATGAAAAAGTTATAGATTATAAAGTATATGGTGTAAAACATGTTGCCTTAATGTGCATCCAGAGGCTTTACACGATTGTGTAAGGGTTTTACACGATCGTGTAAGCATCATGAGGTATCCACATATAAAAAGGGAAGTAAGATGCTACTCATTAGATATTATCCATATATGATGTCTAACACCGAGTTATAATCATTAGAATTTTTAAGTCTAACCTACTACGTTGATATATTTTCATGTTAGTAAGGGTTTATTAGTAACATTGAAGATTTTAAGGACGTTTAGAAGACATCTTATTGAACATAAAATATTTACTTATTTGAACTATTGTCTTTTGTATATCATGTGACACTTTCGTATGATTTGACATTCAATTTCTTTTAAAATGTTAGGAATTTTATCTTAGACTTTTATTCGCAAATTGATCACCCTATAGGTATGTAAAATGTTAGGAGTATGGATACTTCAACCATATTCATGTAATCTCCTCGTAAACGTCACTAAAGACTAATTGATATACCATTTTGAGGAAGTTAAGTAGGAATGATAACGAGCAAAGAAAAATTAATTAGGTAAAACTATTTTTTATCTTCTTAAACAATTTATTAATAATCAATTGATTAAGTAAAGATTTAAAAACTTGCAGTATTAAAATAGTAGTCAACTTTTTTTATAAAATAAGGACGATGAACAATGTTTGAATATTTAAATATATTTTTTCACACTTTTTGTTTATTTCATCTGCAAGTAACCGCTTTTAAGAAACAAAAACAAAAGCTGGAATAGCTCAGTTGGTTAGAGCGTGTGGCTGTTAACCACAAGGTCGGAGGTTCAAGCCCTCCTTCTAGCGCTTTATATACACCTATCTTTTGCGATTAGTGGATGTAAAAAAGAATAATAAAACAGAGTTCTTTCAAAATGGTTAATTATAGTAATTTATATTTATTCATATCCTCATCATAACATAATTGAGTTTAAACAAGTTTTGTTTTGATTAATTTCGATCATAACTTTTTTCTTGGTTCATTCCCATCACATTTTCTTCTTCAAGTACAAATTTCTCTGTCCAACCAACACATTTACCATGCAATGAAAGAAATGTCAATGTAACTCGTCATAACTTAAAGTCAAGTTGCATCTAAAATTAATATATTATCTGTTAATTTCTATTAAAAACATATATGTAAAATCAAAATCATATTTTAGCGGTCTATATTAAGGGTGGACAACAACAAACCGATCTAGAAAAAACCGCAACAAACCAAAATCGAAAAAACTAAAAACCAATACAAAAACCGATGGAGCGGTTTTTAATTTGACAAAAACCTTAGAAACTGAACCACATCATTATAATTATATATATTAAAAAAAAGTTATGTTATTTCTTTTATGTTATTATGGATGTTTAAGATAGTGATTGTTTTAGTTAATAAATAAAAATATAAAATACATCATTATAACTCATAATAATTTAAAAGTTTGGGTTATGATTGTGTTTGTAGACCAAGACTATGATTTCACCAAACTTTCGATTGTGGCCTAAAAAGGTAAAAAAAAAATTGTTTCATAATTCTAGACTAAGCGTCTTGGGTAAAGAGTTATATGCTAAAAATTTAATCAAAAAATATTTCACTTATGGTCTCTTGTGATATTAAAACTGCACCATTTCATTGTCCGATTTAAAATCGAAACTACACCACTTGAAACCACATCGTTGGAAAAACCGCAAAACCACACCACTTGAAAACCACACATTACGATTCTAAAGTTACAAAGCCCAAAGGTGGGATACTACTTAGAAATTGTAGAAAGGTATGGTGTAGTCCACCACAGGCTTGTATGGTAATGATGAAGCTGGTTGACAGCTAGAATGAACACGAAAGTTTTGTTTACAGAACAGTGAAGATATTGCATCTAGAAGTCAAGTATCCAAATCGTCTTGGTAGTATCAATAAAAGGGAAAACGCTGCAGTTGGTCAACTAGCATGGTAAGTAGGTCCATGCACCAGCTGTCAACCTTCAAAGTAGGAGTTTGGGATCTTGTCATGAGCATGCTCCAGAGAAGGCTTTTTCCTTTATTTATCTACCCGTGACCGAGCGAGGATGATCTTCTTCATGATCGGTCAAGTCCGAAAGCTGCAAGAAAAGGGCCATAGAGAAGGTCTTTTCATCACCTCCTTTGGCTCTTATTGGTTCTCTTCACGATGATTGGTCGGGGCCTTCGTTCCCTCTTTTAAGTAGAGAGATGTTCCCGCGGCGAAGAAGTGAAATGATCATCAGAAGGAGGTGAAGGGTTTAACAGCGCCTGGTGGGAATAAGAAAATAAGGAAATTGGGCCGGGTTTGGTCATTCATTCTTGCTTTTTTGGGATTGAAGGATAAATTACTAGCAAGTCGTGATTGGAGCGAACGAATTACCTCATTTGAAAAAGAATTTCTTTGGTTATGGCCGATACCTATTGTTGTCAATGAGAAGATCTACCCGGAAAGGGAAAACAAGATCGAAATTGATGTGTTCGGTTTTAGTTGAAAACCCCATCATGCTCGCCTCTAGTATATATTATAATTTTATAATCAAATAAAGACAACTTCATAAATGGTTTCTATGGTTTCCCAAATTTTGGGTTTTGGTTTCTAACCCTTTTGGTCTCATGGAAGATACTTATAGTTTCAATTTTTAACGTGCTGAGTTCCTTACCCACAAAATATTTTTATACCTTTTTTTTAATTTATTTTATATTTTTCTTAAACCAATGTTCCTTTAATAGAAAAGAAAATAAATTTAACTTCCCTCTGTAAATCAACAACACCCTCGTTGAAAACCACAAAATCAACAAAAATCTCTATTAATAATCAAGAACCATAAAATTTTCTTACAACTCACCAATAGAAGATGAATCAAATAAAAAACATCAAACAATCCAAGTCTAATTCATATCCAAAAAAAAAAAATTATTGAACAAATAATAGAGGTGAAGTAGGGTGTTCGACGTCATGTATAACCGAAACATAGGAATCTAAACCGGAATCTTGAGGAGGAATGTTGAAGTAGTTTGTTAGATTCGTAACCACCAAATTCATGATCGATTGCACATGTGAAACACCATCTCCAATCAACTGTACAGCATAAATTAAAGACCTTTCCATTTTCCCCTTATTTTTCTTTTTGATTTCCGAAATATCCTCTTCGGTGATTCAAAAAGTGATTTTCTTTCGATGATTGCATTGCTGATTATGAGAGAGTACAGAGTGAATCATAAAATATTTTTTGTATATTGATATTCTGAACATATACATTAATTTATACATGGAAAAGAGTAAACTGAAACCTAACTTAGCTCCTTATAATTAGGGAGTACATACACGTGACTAACTATGCTAAGGACTAGGTATAGATGGACCCGGTCAAGTTATATAGCCGTTATTACTGATAAACTCCCGAAAGGAAACAACGGGTCACTGAAAAATTTGTGTTTAATACTTCTTCGCCTCCTTAACTCTCACGAAACGGCGACCTGTCACCATTGCCACCGGTTTCGGTGTCAGAGCTCGATCCGTACTATGAAATTGAATATGTAAATTAAGCATCTCAGATTTCATCTTTTCAACTTGCAAATTCCTGTCTTTTCATCTCTCCTACTTTAAGATTATACTGTTATTGTGGAGTTTTCCAAGCCGCCTTTTTTTCCTGTTAACGTACAATAACACCAATTTGCTCGACTTCCAAATACCGAAGAGTGAGAGGGAGAAAGTTGTGGGTAAATAGAGGCGGGGTAGGGTTGTTATTAGAGTAAATTACATGATTCGTCCCTCCTCCAAATGTCAAATTTCTCGTTTAGTCCCTATTTTCAAAAATTAACTCGGACCGTCCCTGTAATATTTTTTTCTCACTCGGACCGTCCCTGACGAACATAAAATGACTATTTTACCCTTTTCCATTTAATTTTTATTTTACTTATCATTTGTTTTACAATTTATTAAAAAAAATTAAAGAAATAATCCACCATCACCCTCTCCTTCCTCTTCCACCACCGCCACCCACCCACCTTCTTGTTTACTCCATCTTCACTATCTTGAAACCTGTATCCAAACCCAAACTAAAATCAATAGTTTCTTTAAACAATCAAAAATCAAAATCAAACAACTCAAGAGATTCTTGCAAATAAAATTCAACCAAGCATTGCAGAAATCGTAAATCAAAGTCAAACAATCCTGAAACATGTAACCAAAACCTGAGATTGAAAATCAAAATAAAACACTTCAAGAGGTTCTTGAAGAAATCGAGCAGTACAGAATTGGAAAATCAAACTGATATCTAAAACCAAAACAACCCAATATCCGAAACCAAAATCAACACCAAATCTGTAACACAAGTTGGGGATGAAGGGAAATCAAAGAAGTTGGGGAATGAAACTTCAAATCTAGAAATCTTGAATCTAAATCTGGAAGTCAAGTGTGTTGAGAAGCTTCAAAAACGATTTCTGAAACGAGTTTGTTGGAAAATCTCGAAGTTAGGGTTCTTAGTGCAATCCAGATCTATGGTGGCGGTTTCCAGAGTATATGATGGTGGTTTCTTGCCGAGATGGTGGCAGTTTCTAACGGGTTCACATAGATGAGAGGAGAGAGAAAGAAGGAGACAGTGGATGGGGTTAGAGAGAAGGACGATGGTGACTGCTTCTAGGGGGATCTTTCTTCAAATCATCTTTGTCTTTCCCAACGGTGGTTTCCGGTGATGTTCTTGACATGAGAGATACGACTAATGAGGGTGGGTACATTTCTTTCGGGTGGAGAAGAAGAAGCCACCTCCGACAACCACCACCTGGAGTGTAGATCTGCGAACACGTGGCAATGGAAGCTCCGTCTCCGTCTCTCTTGCGCTCTCTCTGTATTGCATCATCCCCGTCGACGGTTTTTTGAGAGAAAATGTGGTGGTGGTCGACGGTGATGTGCGGTGGTCCGACGGTGTTTTGCGGTGGTCCGGTGGTATTTTGAGGTTGCCGGAGGTAGAAAATGAACTGAAGAAGATAACTAAAGGATATGGGTATGAGTGGGGTTAGCGTAAGAGATAAGTGTTTGTGGTGGTGGGCTCAATTTTTTGTTTTTCTTTATTTTTTATTTTTCTTTTAAGTTGTTAATAACAAATAAATCAAAAAATATATCAAAAATAAAATAGAAAGGGTAAAATAGTCATTTTATGTTCGCCAGGGACTGTTTGAGTGAAAATAAAATATTACAGGGACGGTCCGAGTTAATTTTTGAAAATAAAAACTAAACGTGCAATTTGACACTTGAACGAGGGACAAATTGTGTAATTTACTCTTTATTTTTTTTATTTATTTTAAATAGATTCAATTAAAGAAAATTTAAAAAAGTAAAAAAAAAACTCATTTTAAATTGGTCAATGACTAACCAGGATAGAAATAAAAATCAAAGGGGCATTTTATTTTATGAGACCAAGAAAATTAAGAACTAAAACCTAAAATCTAAAAAACTATAAGGACTATTTATGAAGTTTTGTATCAAATAAATAACGCCTTTTCTAATATAAAAATTATTGTTATTAGTAACTTAATATTCACAAAAATGCAAAAATAGTAGATATTGTTTTTATTTTTGTTTGGATAAGGTACAAACCTTGAAAAAGTAATGGATTTGGTGTTTTGGGCCTATTTTTATCATGAATTTTGTTATTTTTTTCTACTTTTATTATGGATTTGGTGTCTAGAAAATTTGAAATGTCTATTTTACTGGTTTACTTTATTTTTCCTATTATTTTTAATTGTTTTACCATTTTTATTAAAAAAATAAAATGAATCTCTCTCTCTCTCTCTCTCTCTCTCTCTCTCTCTCTCTCTCTCTCTCTCTCTCTCTCTCTCTCTCTCTCTCTCTCTCTCATTTTACCCCAATATGAGTTTTTGTGCTAATAAAGAAGACCAACAACATCAGTTATCTCTTATTTGCCAATACCACCATTTATTGTCACCATAAAAATTCAAACGAAAAAGAAAAGGACTGGGTTGGTGAAGAAGATCGTTAAATATAGATGAACATGAGTCGGTTATTTGGCTAAAACTGAACCCAATCCACAGAGGCGCAACACGGACACTAAAACTAGGGGGGCCAGATACCAAAGAAGGCGAATATATATTTGTTTTGATTTTTCAAAAGCTAATTTATATTTTTACATAGTATGTTATTATTAGAAATGAGAAACAAATTCATATTTTACAATTATTCTCTATAAGGTTATAGAATTCAATCAATATATCCATCCATATTATTGATTAGTCCCTTTTAACTAAAAATTACATAAATGTTCAATATACCTTTATTCTCTAATAAAGCTAAAATCATAAAAAAAAACTAATCAAAATTGACTATCTTGAAATTAATAATTAACCTATAAATCACATTAAACACATAGAATTGAATCTCGAAAGGTCTAATATAATTGACAATCTTAAAATGTTAATAAAATAATTAAATTACATTACAAATATATATTATATATAGTATAGACCCTAACATAAGACAAAAATTAAATAAAATTAACCAAGTAAAAAAACAAGAGATTTTTATTGCTAGCATATTAATTGAAGTACAAAACAAAGGGCGCAACAAAAGCTGACACCAGAAAAGTCTTTTAGCCTTCTACCTTTACATAGCATTTTGACTAAGCAACAAAAACAAAACAAAGAGCTTATCTAAATTTAGAGGCAAAAGCAAAACTAAAATATTCGAGAGAGTATTATACATACAGTAACGAAGAGGTCTCAAAGTCGAAATGGGCGAGATGAGCGCTCGGTCAAACACACAAGGGCGTGGTGGAGCAAAGGTTTCCTGCAGAAAAGGGAGCCATCTCTAAAGCGGCGACTGGAGACTGGAGAGATGCAACTAGGGTTTTTTGGTTTTTACTTGAAGTTTTGTTTTCTCTTATTTGTAGGTTCTAGAAAAGTTTAGATTGAAGAGAATTTGTGGGCTTTTTTTTTAACAGGTGAGTTTAAATGAGGATTACGATTTGTTAAGTTTTGAATTTTAGATTTAGATTTCTTATTTTTGAAATTTTTATGGGATAAAAAACTATAACAGTTCCCTCTCAAATCTGGAAGTTTAATCTTATATTTCACTTAAAAACTAATGATTTTTTGGTAGAATACAAGAATATCTTAAATATTTTCAATATTATTGTAGGATATAATGTTCTAGCCCTACATCTTACCTGTTCTTAGTCAAAAAAGCTGGGGGGCCATGGCCTCCCCTGGCCCCTTAAGGCCTCCGCCACTGCCAATCCATAGAACTTAGAAGTCGATTTTATGGTTTCAAAACCCATATGAGTTTGGTTTCTGTATATGTCGGTTTTTCGGCTTAGGTTTGTGGGTTTTCGGTTTGAAACCGTGAGTTTGTGCATTCACGGTAGGGATGAACATGATACTAGGTAGTTACTCGAGAATATCAAGTATCAAAATCGGTGAAAAAACGATATTGAGTACCAAACCGAACTAAAGTTAACGATATTGGTACCGGATACGATACCAACTTTCGATACCAGCATCGGTACCCAGGGTATCGAATCCCAAATTTCGTGATTTAGAATATCAAGTACCAACACACAAAATTCGATTTCGCCCCAAATCTACAAATCTAATCTAGTGTTATCCAAGTCGGTTTTCTTCTGTTGTGTCATCAAGATTAGCAAATTGATGTTTTTGTGTGTGAGAGAACGAGAGAGGAAGGTTGCGATGGGGATGAGACTTTATTTTTAGTTTCTTTCAATAAAAATGATAAAACTGTTAAAAATTATGAGAAAAGAAATTAAAAAGAATAAAATAGATATTTTAAATTTTTCAAAAGACCAAATTCTGAAAGTAGGCGAAAAAAGAAAAGAAAAAAATCACATCCATAATTTTTCCAAAATTTGGATCTCAACTAAAAAAATAACAAGCTACAAGGACCACTTTTATAATTTTGTCTAATATTTATCAAATTTATACTTTTAAACAATTAGATACATTTCCATCCTTTTAGGAGCTTTTATGCAAACACACCAAAACTAACAAAACCTTTTCTCATTTCGAATACGTAAATGGCTTCTTATAAGTCTGCAAAAGCAACGACGAACACACCACACTGATAGAAGAAGCCGCCATGAGAGCCCCGGCCAACCAAGGAGGCAACCGGATTCCAGTGAACGGAAACAAAACTCCAGCAGCAATTGGCATCCCAAGCACATTATAACCAAGGGCCCACACATAGTTAAGATGAATCCGAGAAATAGTCTTTCTAGATAAATCAATGGCTGTGATCACATCTTCCAAATTGCTTTTAATCAGCACTATATCAGCTGCCTCAATTGCCACGTCAGTCCCTGCCCCAATCGCCATCCCCACGTTCGCCGCAACCAACGCCGGCGAATCATTTATTCCATCTCCCACCATCGCAACTATTTTTCCTCTTGCCTAACATAGCAAAACACCAACATTAAAAAAAAATATCTTTTTGGCGTAAACTGTTGAAAATGAGATAATACAGGGACCAATTTTGTAATTACCTGCAAGTCTTTTACCCTGTCGGCTTTTCCCAAAGGATCAATCTCAGCAAACACGTGTTCAATACCAACCTCTTTTGCAATGGCGGTTGCAGTCGACCAGTTATCACCGGTCACCATAATACTATCAATATTCATTGACCGGAGAAACGAAACCACCAGCGCCGCCTCCGGTTTCACCGGATCAGTGACGGCGAAACCACCGGCAACCTTCCCATCAACCGCCACAAGAACACACGTGCGAGCCAGTTTTTCATTCTCCGTAAAATAATCCTCAACCTCCACGTCAACCACCACATTAGACAACCTCATAAGCTTCTTATTCCCAACAAACACCGTTTTTTCTCCGACTTTACACCCCACCCCAGCCCCCGGTTGGACCGTAAAATCCTTCACCACTGAACCGGTCCCGGTCCAGGTTTGAAATTCCCGATTCGACAGTTTGCTTTTCGCGTGTTCCACAACCGCTTTTGCTATCGGGTGTTCGCTATTCGCCTCTACAGCAATCGCAATATTACAAAACTCCTCCATTTCAATTTCGGAGAAGATGACGTCATTCACGACTTTAGGTTTACCAAATGTTAACGTTCCCGTTTTATCGAATACGATTGTGTTAACCTACATGATCCAAATTATGTTAATAAAATGTATTGGCTTAGAGACAAAGGGTAATTTAGTCTTTTAATCACACCTACCTTGTGTGCTTTTTCGAGTGCGTTTCCACCTTTGATAAGGACACCTTGTGTCGCACCTTTACCAGTGGCAACCATAACTGCAGTAGGTGTAGCTAAACCTAAGGCACAAGGGCATGCTACTACTAAAACCGATATTCCAAATTGTAATGCAAGTTCAAATTCATCCATCGCTTTTGGTATCCAACTTTTGGGATAAATTCCAAGTGCTCCAGGAATATACCACGCTAGCCATGTCACAATAGCAGCTGCAACAACCTGAAAATAAGTCAACGTTGACTTTTCCGGTCAAACTTGGTATAAAAAGAGTAAAAGTATGTTGCTATTTTGTGCAAAAAAAAACTGACCGCAGGTACAAAAAACCTTGAGATCTGATCAGCTAGCTTCTGAACAGGAGCTCTAGCAAGTTGAGCAGCTTCAACTATTTGAACAATTTGTGAAAGTGCAGTTTCTGATCCAATATGAGTTGCCTTAATCAACAAGCATCCATTCTCATTCACAGTTCCACCAATAACCTATTTCATATTAATAAAAAAACATAAAAAAACCATTTAAATTGGGGGGAAGGGTAAAGATGTAAATTCGCATTATCCATACCCTGTCGCCTGGACTTTTAGAAACTGGAATAGCTTCGCCTGTGATCATACTTTCATTCACGTAACCATGTCCATCGATTACAACCCCATCAACAGGAAATTTTGCTCCGGGGAATATTTTTAAAATGTCGTTTTTTTGAATTAATTGGGAATTAATTTCGGTTTCTGAAAATGGTGTTTCCGGAATCGTCCATGGTCAAAAGGCAAGCTGTGTCTGGAGCGAGATCGGTCAACTTTGCTAAAGCATCGGATGTTTTTCCTTTAGCGATTGACTCTAAGTATTTTCCTAAGAGAATAAATGATATTAACATTGTGCTTGTTTCAAAGAAATCTTGTCCCTCAAATGCATCGGAAATTAGGGCTTTTATTAGTGTGTATACGGAATAGAAGTAAGCTGCATTAGTGCCAAGTGCGACTAAGACATCCATGTTTGCAGATTTTCGCCTTAGTGCGTGATATGATCCCACATAAAACCTGAATTGAAATAAAATTGAGTATATATTACTTATTATTACGATAATGTGTGAACATTAGAAACTTTACCTTTTACCAATAATAAATTGGACAGGTGTGCAGAGGATCCATCTCAAAACCATTCCAACAGTAAGCATGTTATGAAGTTTATTAACTTAACCAATTCCCATAAGGAGGAATCATCGGAAGCACCATAGAAAACATCAAAAGTGGAATAGAAAACAAGCAGCTCCACAAAAACTGATTTCTGTAAATTTTAATCTCATGGGATTTCTCAGTTTCATTTCCTCTTTCTGGAATGAATAAACTTGCCTGATAATGAGTACTCGATTCTTGAACAAACTGTATAACTGACCTGCCACCTGTCACATCTGGATCATACCCAACACTCACCTTACATCCTTCCACATCAATCTCAACATCATTGACACCACTTAGTGATTCCAGGGAATTCTTGATTCCATTCATGTCTTCTACAGAAACAATACCTTCGAGTTTTATATGAACTTTGTTCCCATTGTTTCCAGAGCCTATGAGATCTGCTCCAAATCCGGAATCTTCCACTGCTTCAATGATCTGATTAGGGTTTATAACATTGGGATCATAGTTTATCTTTGCTTCTTCAAGAGCTAAGCCTACAACAGCTTTTTTTACACCTTCAATCATTAAAAGAGCACGTTCAACTGACTCAGAGCAGCTTGTACACATCATCCCTTTGATTCTGAGTCGACATACTGCAATGTCTTGATCTGTAAATTCTTTGACTTCAAATCCTGCATCTTCAACAGTTTCTTTGATTGCTTTTACCTGAAAACATGATATTATAGTATTATACTTTTGCAAAAAAATGTCTTTGACAATAAATACATGAGGCAACAATGGGAGCTTACATCAACAAGTTCTGGAGCATATTTAACTACAGCTTGGCCTTGAAGTGGTGACACAATGGCACTTTGAACACCATTAAGATCCAGAAGTAAAGATTCAATGGATGATGAACATGATGCACATTCTATGCCACCTATTTTGAATGTAATGGTTCTAATCCCTTGATTGACACTATGGACTGATTTAATATCAATTACAACAGCATCTGAGGATTTCAGAAGTGGTGTCTTCAAATCATCATCCTTCCCATTGACTTCCATTCCTGCAACCAAATCCACAAACCATTAGTAGAGTACAAATATTGGATCAAGTAGATTTAAAAATTAACCCAAAAACACTATCATCTCTCATATTTCATAAAAATAAACTGTAAACCCTAGAAATCATTAATTAACATCATTCGTCAAACATCTACTTAGTTCCTAGAAGCAGTAACATTCAGAGATTTAAGTCAAACCTAAAATCTTTCAGTTTTAACTTTTAAATGCAAATTTGATGTGAAACATGTTATTTTGACAAAAAAAACACACTATTTGTACTCTGTAGTGCTTATTATTAAGTTTGTCAATTCTCTATTCAAATTCTTCAAATCCAAGTCAAACATAAAACTGTTCTAGAAATCGGTGTCCCTATTCTTTTACTGTATCTATATCTTCAATTTTAAGTATCAATTAACGACAGATGTTTGGATCATGAGAAACCTAACTTTGATTTGATGATGATACACAACTTCAGCATAAAACCTAGAGTCAACCAAACCTAAAAATTAACATGTACAATCCACGTCTACAGATAAAGTAACATCAAACGTATCAAAGTAACATAAATCTCTAAATTGTTTAATCAAAACATGATCGCAGCTTCTAAAACTAATTAATTAACAGAATTACAAAAGCTAACATCCTTATATCATGTATATAAGCGAGAGTTTACCTTCTCCAACGCTAGATATTACTAATTAGGGGTTTTGAACAGCGGCGGTGTAGAGAATACTAGAGTAGAGGTAAGAACAGGCGTGCCAGGGGTTTCAGACGTATTAGGGAAATTGGTGGTAATGGAGGCGTCTCCTTTTTGTTTTCCTTTTTCAAATATTCGAATATAAGAACCCTTGCCACTTCCCACCAAGGATAACGTCCATTGCAGGCCCACCATCGTTTGCTCATAAAAATCATCGTTTGGTTCGACTTTATTCGGACGCGAACAAAAATTACATGATTATTTCCATAAAAGACCTTATATTTTGATTTTTTTCTTTTTAGATCTAAAACTTTTTTTCTTTTTCGAAAAAGACTCAACTTTTACATGTTAGTTGTTATTTTAGACCCTAACAGGTCATCTCCTGGGAAATTAAGTATTTTTATTTCATAAAAGACCCTATATTTTATATTTTTTTCCGGTTTAGACCTAAAATGTTTTTTATTTCAAGACTAGTTGTATAAAAAACATGATTATATCCTTTTAGTTTAAACATAGGCATCGATTTAAATAATGTAATTATTATGTCTACATTTATTTATGATTGGACAATTTCTTTGTCCACGTATATTTAAAAAAAAAAGTAGTTGTAAAAGCTATTTCTTCACTACACAAAGTTCATGTAGCTTAATTTCGTCAGGATATAAAAAACATAGTTATATTCTTTTAGTTTAAATAATAGACAACGATTTAACTTTTGCATCTTTTGACATCGTATTGATTTACGCATGAAACATTTTTTTTAAACCATTACACATACAACGATTTAACTTTTGCATCAGTTTATGCTCAAATGGTTTCATTCTCATAATATAGTTTTATGTATTTATATGTGATGTTAACATTTTTTAAGAATGTCTTAAACTTGAATCTGATATATCTAAACAAAACTATTACGAATGTTTAGGATTAATATTTTTATGTATGTATTTGATATAATTATAACATATTATTCAATAATGGCATGGCCGGTCCTGGAGATGTATATATCCTCAAATGCTCATGACGAATCAGGGAAAAATGACCCCTATCGCTATTATAAGTTTTTTATTTTTAAAATAAATGTATATATATATAATATAATATAATAAAAGAAATTGGGTCCTGTGCAGCTGCCCACTTCCCCCCCCCCCCCGGTGAATAATGGGCTAATGCTACAAAATATTCTATGACTTTGGTTTAGGAGTATGATAGTGAGTGTGTTTGTTAACTGTTCTAAAAAAGTTGATTAAAAAATTCGACCAAAAAATAATATAGAAAAGTGAGAGAGGGAAATATGTCCAAACTCACGAAATTAGTATAATAGACAAACTAAAAAAATTTATTTTGTATTCAGTTTGTTAAATTACGTGGTATGTTTTTTTTCTACAAATAAAAAAAGTTGTTATTATGCTAAAAGATTCTTCCTAGCCATGTATTATCCATGTTACCAAAAAATATCAAATTAACATCAAACTTTTTATTAGCGGTAATAATAACATTTTTATAAACAATATACCAGGTTTAATGATATAATATATATCCAAGATAAAGTTTAATTATATCTTTTACACAAAAATAAAATTTTGCAATTCTTCTAGGTTATATTCGCTCAAAAGATAATAGATTAGATACCATTTTTTAGTTTATACATGTATACTTTCTTTTCGGTGTAGTCAAGAAGTACCTTATATATCTGGTCTTGAAGATTATAACCAATTTTAAAGTTGAGTTTATTTAAAAAAAACATTTAGGTCTGAAATGGAAAAAAACTATAAAATATAGGGTCTTTTATGAAAATAAAACCTAATTTACCTGTTGGTGACCTGCTAGGGTCTGAAATAACAAGTAACAGGTAAAAGTTGGGTCTTTTTCGAAAAATAAAAAAGTTCTAGGTCTAAAAAGAAAAAAAAATCAAAATATAAGGTCTTTTATGGAAATAACCCAAAATTATAAAAATGGTCCTGTGTTTTGCTTATTTGTTAAGGTAAATTACATTTTTGGTCCATGTGATTTGGTTAGCAATGTATTTTTGTTCTAACTTTTGAAATATTGATAAGTTGTACTTATTAATATATATTTTTCTCATATAATATTTTAAACAATATAAAAAATAAAGAACCTCATCCCCCCCCCTCTCCTCCCTACCACCACCACACTACCATACCCAACATATCCATAAACTCTACAATTCAATAAAGTCATAAAAACAATAAATAATAATTATAAATAAACCATATATTGAGGCAACGAAATATAATTAGGTTAAATTTTGGAAGAAAAAAAAGGTCAAACTTGACAATTTGGTAAAAGATAGGTTTGACCTAAACAGTTAACTCAAATAACTAGAGAGGACTTAAATGGCATGTATATTGATGGAAAGGGGCCATAAATGTAATGTCTTAAGTATCTAGCTTGTATGGTGTCACATGGTAAAAAAATAGAAACATGAGGGACCATGTCGTATTTGAATGAAAGCATCGATTGAGAGATGAAGAAGAGAGTATGTGGCGATTTTCATGGGGATTAAAGAACTAGAGTAAATCGCTAACAAGCTAGGATTTGGTGTTAAAAGTGTAAATAGAGCTCAAGAGGTAATGTTCTTCCTCTCCTTATCTTAATGTCGATCTAGGGTTAGAAACTTACTTAAATCTGAAAATGTTTATGTAAATATGATTCATATATGTTTCTTCTATCATTTCTAGCATCTACTCCACAAATATCATAAGAATCTACATCTATTAGATTGATATGGAGTTTGAAGAGAGTTGATAAGCTTGATGCATCTCTAATGGTGGATCTCAATTGTGGTTTAATTAGATGGAAGTGATTCTTATTATAAGTTCATTTTAATCCATATCTACATATATACTACATTATAACACATATTCATCATATCTTGAATTTTAAGAGGTATAATTTATAAAACTTTTTGTACAAATCAATTATGCATAAATAGATCATTAATACTTGCAAAAAAATATGAAGACGTGAATAAGAAAGGTTATTAATTAATTCAATTTGTAGCAAAATGAAGTCATGTATATTAATTAATTTATGTTACTTAAAGTAGACATCGTTATTAATTAAATTACATCAATATTATAAATAGGCAATATAAATATAAGGTCTAAAAATAAATATTTTATTTAAAAGTGGTATTTTTTATTACTTAATAACTAATAATAAATTTTAATAATTATTTCCCCGTAAGAAACTATTCACCATGTAACGACGTAATTTTTCAAACCAATTTTTCATTTTTAAATCACATAAAACTCATATCTTATAATTCATAAAAATCATAAGTGTCTCAAAGTCAACATAAATCCACAACAAAAGTCAAATCCCAGAATCCTCAACATAATCTCGAACAGGTGTGTACAATCACGCCGGTGCCTTCCCGCGATCCTCAGAAGTACCTGAAACACATAACACATAACACAGTAAGCATAAAGCTTAGTGAGTTCCCCAAAATACCACATACAACATATTAGCCACTCGAGGCTATAACTCTGTAAGACCCTCCGGTCAATGTGTCTCAGTGGGACCCTCCAGTCCCACAACTCTGATGGACCCTCCGGACGTAACTCTGTGGACCTCCGGTCCTAACTCTGTAAACTTTGAATACACATAGCATAAATCACACAGGCATAATGCAGTAATATCACAGTACTCAAATAACACATAAGACCCTCTGGTCACACATAGATGCCACTCTAGGCAAAGTATAGTGAGAAGACTCACCTCGTAAGCTAGCTAGTAAAATATCGTGCTCGAAATCCTCGATCTAGCCTCCGCCTAACATATTAGATAAGCATCTCAAATCAATACCCCACTCTTACTCAAATACACCAAAAGTTCTCTTACACTCTTTCTAACCCTTGGAATGGGTAAAAGACCATTTTACCCTTCCCTTGTCTCAAATGATCATACTTGACCCAACCATAAAGTCAACAGAAGTCAATACGAAACAATAGTCAAAGTTGACCTGACTCGCCGAGTGCACCCTTGTAACTCGCCGAGTCCACTCGTATCCTCAGAGCTCTTCCTTGGGTTTCACTCAGCTCGTCGAGTTGACCCCCTAACTCGACGAGTTATCACCGGGTTCAGAACGCTGGGGCAACCCGATCCGACTCGTCGAGCCATATCATAGACTCGGCGAGTTGACTCATTCGAGTTTCTCATTTAGGCTCCTGAGGTCAGATCTGCAACTCCAACCTCTAGATCTAGCCTCCTAATACCCAAAAGTCACGTAAAGGTTTGATCTTGACGACCATGCATGGCATATATTGCTCTATATGCCATCACTACTCCATTAATGCTTCCAAAACCCAAAACTCCTTGGTTGATTCACTAAGGCTCTACACTTTTGGACTCTGTGGACCTCACAAGGTCCAGATCTGAAGTCTAAACTCGAAAAGGGGCTTGATGCATCCATAGCCCCATCAAGAAAGTGTTACAAGCCCTAAATCTCAAGAACATGAGATCTAATCATCATACAAGAAAGGTAAAAGCTTTTTACCTCGATCTGAAGCTTGAGATGAAAAAAGAAACAGATCCACTGGCCCTCCCTTCTTGATCTTTGAAGAACCTTCCTTCCTCTTCAAGGAAATGAGCCAAAATGAACACAAGATTAGCTATCCTCACCACTCTAGCTCACTATGGACGTTAGGGTTTCTCTCAAGGGTGTAAGGGTTCTGGTGAGACGAAATGGAGGCTATAAGTGCCCTTAAATAGGTCGCAGGCCCGAGAATTTAGGGTTTCCTTCAGCAGCGCTAACTTGGCGAGTCGCCTCACAGACTCGTCGAGTCCATTCATTAATCCACGTCACCAGTCACGATTCTACTCGACGAGTTAAGGCACCAACTCGTCGAGTCACTCCACAAATCTCAAATTAAATGATAAAATAATATACCTGGGAATCTGGATGTTACACACCAGAATATCTATTTGTCGTTGACGTTTTGCGCAGACACACATCTAGTGTTTTGAAACTATTTTCAATGTTAGAATTATTCAAACCACACTGAGATTGATCAGTTAAATCATTGGTGACCTTCGACTTTGACCTACGGGTTCCTATGGAGATTTTGATCATCAATCATGAAACAAACTCGTCTGTTGAGTTATTTAAATTATAAGATGATGTTTGAAAGGAATCATCGCCAAAGTAAGGTTGGAAGGTTGATGATCTACTTTGAAAAGGGAACTATGA